ATTATCGCTCTTATACAATTCTTAATTAATTACTATAATTAGTTAATACTTTGCCTATCACTATAAGAACGGTAACAGTACTTAATGAGATATTTATAAAATATAAATAATAATAAAAAATAATTAATATAAATTTAAAATAATAAATGAAAAGAGGAAAGAATGAATAAAAAGAAAAATAATTAAAAATAAAGTGTATCTAAATTAATAATATGATTTATATTTTATATTTAATCTATTTGGCAAAACATTAAGAAGTATTAAGTGTAGATCTATAAGAATACTTTCTTATATGAATAATATTAAGATAAATTTATATCAATTAAGATAGTTTCAGTTTTAATTTTAATAAACCTTATTTTTTTATTTATTAAATAGTGAAAAGATCTGAAGAGCTATAATACAAAATAGAAATATTTAATATATAATTGAGATTTAACAAATTACAAATAAATTAATAATAAAATAAAGAGTAATTGGTTTTAATTATTAATCTTAAAGGTGATGTGTCTTCAAGTTATACTGTACTTAATAAGATATATATAAAATATAAATAATAATAAAAGATAATTAATATGAATTTAAAATAATAAATAAAAAGAAAAAAGAATAAATAAAAAGAAAATTAATTAAAAATAAAATGTGTCTAAATTAATAATATAATCTACATTTTATATCTAATCTATTTGACAAAACATTTAAATATAGATCTATATTAATTTCTAACATGTTATACAAAAAAAATAATAAACATAACATGAAAAATAATGAACATAATACAAGAAAATACAAAAGTATATGAAAATTATTACAATTACTCTCTCTCTTAAAAGTCAATATTTATATTAAATTAAAATATGTTTTTCAAAAGCTTGAACTTTTTCTATTGCATTTTTAAAATTGTCCAAAGATTTTCAAGTAGAGTCATATAAAAAATATCCAATCCATTTCACAAGATATTGTAGTTATTTTTTCACTATGTGCTTGTTTAGAATATTTTCAACTTCATATTCTTTTTTATTGTCTGATATAATAATAGTTGGTGGTGATATTGATCTATTAAATTCATTATTTTCATTATAAAACTTTAGTAACAAAATATGAAAAACTAAATGCATTTTCATGTTGTTTAAAAATTCTAATTTATATACAACTGATAAAATTTTATCAATTATATTGAATAATCCAATATATTTAGTATTTAACTTTCTTGTTGGTCTTTATTTATCAATAAATATATTAATAAAGCAGAGAACTTTTTGATCAATTTCAAAATTTTCAAATTTGTGATGTTGATTTGTATATTTTGATTATTTGTACTGAGCTTTTATTAATACATCTTTTGCTATTTTCATTATAGTATTTCAGTGTTCCAGAAATTCTTGAGAGACTATTACTTTATTATTAGTATTAATAATAATAGGTGTATAAGGTGATTGTTTACAATCTAATTCAAATGAAGTGTATTGGGTGAATGCTTATTTACTAATATTGTAAGTAAATTCTGCAACAGCTAGACATTCATCCCAGTTATCTTGCTAATATGTAATAAAAATTCTAAATATTTTTTTCAAAGTTCTATTTAATCTTTCAGTTTGACTATTAGTTTATGGATGAAAAACTATTAACATAGCCAATTTAGTACCAAGTTAATTAAATAATAACTTTCAAAATTGACTGATAAATTTGGTATCTCTATCTGAAATAATACTATTAAATAATTCAAATTTTAAATAATACTTGATACATGTATATACTCTTGTTATAATAAATGCACCCGGGTCGGGCTATTTTTAAAAAATTCACTATACCGAAAGGATTCATTATAGGCTATTTTGAACTCAAGTTCACTATATTAGTTTAATTAGTCTTCATATATCGAGAGTTCACTTTAACAAAAGTGACTTGTAAAATAATTAAAATCATTATAATGTCACAAGTTGAACTTTAGATTCTCAATATGGTTCGACTTTTGACTTATTAAGATGGTTTTACTTATAATCCTAATGGCCAATTTAGATAATTCCGTTGCCACTAGAATTGGAATGACCCAAATCAAAATTTAATTCGAGATCATCCAAAAGCCAATTAGGATGATACAGTCCCTGGCGAAAGTAATGGCGGCCAGTTTTTTTATTATATTTCATTTAATCGTATAATAGAATTAAAAAATATATTTTGAAAGTGCCCCTGAGTATGGCTCTCTTTCTGTGTCAATGCAAGTTCGAATGTTCTAAAAATTTTGTTACTCGAACGTTTTTAACTTAAAAAAGACAAAAATTACCGATTATCGAGAAAATGAGTTTTATATTTTTGCAAATTCATCACATTTTTATTTTTTAATTGTTATTATCTTGCTAGAAATTTGGTACTATTATTTATATTACTTTCGCCGGTGACTAATATTATTGAAAAAATTCGAAAATATAAAGTAAAAGTAACACTTTGTATTCGTTATCCGAACAAGACAACGGTCTTTCGAATAATGATTCGGTAAATAAGATCAGTTATTCAATTTATTCTAATAAAATGTATTATTATTCGCTGAATATTCTAATAGATTCTTGATGATTTGAATAGTCTTCGAGTAAGATCTATGGTTAACGCGCATATAACTGTGATCTCTTCTAAAGAGTTAAAAGTAAAAAAAAAGATATTTTAGAATCATTTACTTGATAATGATAAACAGTAGTATGCTTGTTTTCATATTATTTTAGCAGCTTTATACAAATATATTTTTCACGCGTAAAGTTGAAATTTGAAGCACGTTATAGTATAAGAAATACCAGAATGTAAAGTGCAACAAAAAAGGTATTTATAAAATTAATTAATTGATAATACGTATGATTGAGACAAAGAGAAATGAATTGATCAATGAATTAATGAATTGACGTTGACGTTAATGTTATTTACAATTAATTGTTTTGTTGCATTACCGATAAATCTCGATATCGATCGATTCGATGATCGATTGCATACACGTGTTTTTTTCTTTATTAATATTTAATTACACTTTCATAAAAAAAATGGCGAGTTTGTCTTGTATATATAACAATAATTAGTTATGTCACATCTTCCTACGTCCAAATTTTAAAACTCTAGATCAATCAATCAGCCATTCGATCCGTTCATTCAATCACCAGTAATCTTTACCCACGAGCGAGTTCTTTGATTTCTATGATAGAAAAATCATTATATAATTTACATAACTAAATGACGGAAAACCACTTAAAAAAAAATCACTCAATTATTGTAAATATTAAAGTAAATAAATTAGACATGATCCCGAGAAACATGTAATATGCATCACCAACAAACCCAGAAAACGCGCATATTTAATATCAAATCGTATGAGTTCCAAAAAAAGAAATACCCAGAACATAAATCACCCAAGAAATCAGCAAAAAAACCGGATTTCACATCACAACCACATGAAACAAATGCCAAACTAATAATTTACAACCTCCCACTCAACGCTTTACGTGTTGTGCTGACTTTGAAATACTTTCATTATTCCATGATAATAACTATAATAGTAATTTGATGTTCGATTGATTATTGGTCGTCAGGCAGTTTTTGCTGGTGATAGCGCATGAAATATCAATTTTATTTAAGGACCAATAAATAAATGAAAAATAAAATCAACATAACATACAAAATAAAATAAACTGTTGATAATTAATAATAAGTAAATAATATAATAGTACTTTTTTATCTTTATATATAGAAACTCTTTTGTCTCTTGCACAAGACACACACGTTCGTTTATTTGCTGAATATTTAGAAAATAGATTTCTATAAATTCTCTTCGTGTGAGGGTGTCCGCTGCCGTTGTAGATTTTAATTATAAGATAGAAAATTGACTTGACTTCAGGTCTAGTGAGTAATAGATAGTAATAGTACAGGTATTTTTAAAATAATCAATTCGGTTAATGGTTGATATTGATAATTAATTTTCTATTTCAATAATATAAAGAATGTCACAAAAAATGGAAAACAACAGCAATGTTAATTTTACTGATGAATTCGGAATTGGATTGAACAACGACGAAGATATTTTTCCAACAGTCGTTGCAAATCAAAATATGTGTGATGAAAATAATTGGCAGCAAAATTGCGACGAAGGTTCTTCTGTTTATCAGGACCAAACCGAGTCCACTGTTACTATGACAAACAACAACAATTCATTCGATTCATCGATTATAAATGATCAGTTGCCCAATAACAATGTTATCATTTACGATGTGAGATCAAATGATTCGTCATCTGTTCACGATTTTAGTGTACCAGATATTGATGAGAATTTAAATATCGCCGGTAATAGCAATAGCGATAGTATCGGTATTAATTCTAATCAACAAATAGTGGCCAGTTGTGAACAAAATGCAAGTAATGCAAATTACTTTACTTATATGGATGCTACAACAGCCAATACTGGTGACAGCGATCAATTTTACTTTCAAAATAATGCCAGAAACGGAAATATCAACAACTATAATAGAAACAATACCAATAATAATAGTTCGCGCATTTCAGTCAATTCAATGATCGTTAATGGAAATATAATTGACCCAGACCTCATGACAACTGCTTACGAATTCTCGGGATCAACTTCTGCAGGAGTATCTAATGATTTCATTATCAATCGCGCGAATTCCGAATGTTCTGATGACTCTACGCTGCTGGATATTTTCGAAAATAGCAATAATTTGAATCAAAATAATAGTAATATTCAAAATATTATTAACGGAAATAACACAAACGACTATTGGTCCTCCGTATTAGAACCCTCTACAGCAACAAATTATTTTGATAGTCATGATGGAAATATGTTACGTTCTTTGCAATATTACGCGAATACAGCAATTCAGAATCCATTTCCTCAATATGCGTTTAATCCGATTTTAGGATCTCAACAACATCCAATGCCAACACAACATTCCATCAATCCCGATCACAATCCAATTCCGTTTGCGCATCTTTTCGACACGACTCATGCAAATATTCATCACAACAATTTCATTAAATTGAAAAAGAAACGAACTCGCAAGCATCATGATATAGTTGATGTTACTGTCCAAGGAGCTGGATCGTCACCGTCTCAAATCACGTCACCCATTATCAGTGGTCTACGTCACGATGAAATTCCGCAATGTTCAAATTGTGGTGTAAGAGAAACACCTGCTTGGAGACGTGATCTGCAAGGAGTTGCATTATTGTGTAATGCTTGTGGTTTATAGTAAGTGTAATTTTATTTACTACATGCGATTATTTCGAATATCATTAATTTAATTTTATCTGATTTCCAGCCTAAAAAATAAGGTATTTGCATTGTTTATTGTTTTTAAGTTTTGAATTATGTCTTATTTGGTTTGTTTATTTCTTTGAATCAAGGGAGTTCAACGTCCTACGGAAATTGCACCGGATGGTACAATAAGATTAATGCGTGGACAACGAAGGGATAGTGATGTCACATGCCAAAATTGTGGTGCTCGTAATACTCCGTGCTGGAGAACTCCAAATGGACAATCACTTTGCGGAAAAGTATTTATTTTCTTAACAATAATTTTCATTTATTGACAAAAAATAATGATTGTTTCGATAAACTTGAATAGTGTGGTATCTTTCAACGAACGCACGGATATCCACGTCCACCGAGTCCATCACCTTCTTGTTCTTCAACATCATCATCCCCATCATTGTCTGCTGGGGGTTCTTTACAGCCACGGAAATCTCCTATTCAGACTTTTGCTCCTTATTGAATTTTCCAATTTGTTTTTTAAACAACATAAACAATTTGCCGAAAACGCAATTTTTTAATAGATTTGTAATTTTTTATTTCTTTTTCGTATGTGTATTTAGCCTTTTATTTTTTTTGCTTATTATATTATTTGGTTGTTACTTAAAAAAATGTATTTTTCTTTTTCTTTGTTTTTGTTACAATACCGAACACTGATATTTATAAAAATAGATTATTATTATAAAACGAAAAAATATCAAGCTCAATATATTTTTAAACAAAATACTAATTTCTATTATTTTGAATATGAATTGAACAAGTTAATTATGTTTGTATGTCATTTTTTAAAAAAAATCAAGATGTCAGTTTATATAATAGGAAGTGTAAATATTTTCAGTGAGTTCATATATTTTTCGATACATTTATCGCAAATATTTTTTTGAATTTAAGGGAAGATAGAGAAAGTAATCAATAAATTATTGATTTGTTATCAATTTAATTTTGTAGAAATGTGTTCATAAAAGAACATAGTGGTTTTTTTTAATAGAACTTTTGTGAAATATTTAATATCATACACAACCTTTTGCACTTTAAAGGTGTCGCTTTCAAAAAAATTATATAGTATCTATCTATTTTATATATTATGAATTCAGAGTCAATGTTAAAATTAAGTATAAATTGCTATTGATAGTTTTTTAATAAGATTTTACTAGCTTTAAAAAAAAATGTATCTTACTTTGATGTTTACTGTACATAACGATAACACAGTATTAGGTAATTGGACCAATATTTATTTTAAAATATAAATAAAATGAAATCGATAACCTATAGAATTATTTTTAAAATTCAAAGTCAATTTGTGTTTTTTATTGTCAGATAAAGCTTAAAATTTTTAATTCTACTTGATTTGAATTTTAGATATTTGCGAATTAAGATTTAGTTGTTTTAAAATAAAATAAATTTTTTTTTTGGCTATTTACTCTGTTAAAATTATATTAAATAAGAAATTATTTTCTGTCTAAACCCTCAAATTCTCAAATTAAAATTGCATAGTAAAAATATGTTAGATTTAAATTTAAGAATACGTATACGTTGTACCGGTACGCAGTTTTTGAAAATGAAAAAGCCGTATTGATAGCTTCCTACATGTATTACATGTATTTGAAGTGATTTTCATTCGTGCAATGTAAAGAGAGATTTGTTGCTACACCTTTAAAATAGTTAAATTGAAATTAAATCTTTTAATTAAATAAATACGTTACAATATTTATTTTTAATGTAGCTGAATTAAAATTCAATATGGTTATTGTTATAAATAGGCAATATATGTATTAAAAGCTATTCTTATCAAACTTTTTTCAATATAATTAAAATTAAATTATTTAAAGAAAGTAAATTAAATCATGCTATATTAGAATAATACATTTTAAACATGGAAATATGAAAACTGTATGTTATTAAATTATCTCATTATTACTCAATTCAAAGTATTTGACATTGTTTACAACTTTTAATTTCTAATTATATAAATTTTGAAAACAAAAATTATTCTATCAAGTTTACTTATATATACAAATAGATATTAATAAAAATATTTATTAATTTATCAATATGGTTTGAATAAAACAAGCAACAATTTTAGTTGCTTAATACAAATAACATTAATAAAATAAGCAACAATTTTAATTGCTTAATACAAATAATATTAAACTATTAATAGGTTAAAGTGATTTTTTATTAGTGCTCTTTAGGCTATTTGCACTATACAACATTTAAGTTTATTATCATATTTGTCATATAAATCACTCTGTAAAAAAATTCGCATATTAATTTAATTGCAAAATTAATAATTTAGTAACTAAAAAAAAAATACAATTGTATATAGAATAACTATGATAGTATTATAAAATTTGTTAAAAATCGTATTAGAATTTATAAATGAAATATATTTTTGTAATATTTATTTACGATTTATATATGCATGATTATCATTTACTATAGAATTAGGGTAATAGATCCTAAAATTTCAAGAATATATTTTCAGTCCTTTCTATTGTAAATCTAGAGTTCTATATGACAACGTCATATTGCTATTTTACAAAAATACGTTATTTATTGTGTATAAATATTGAAATTATAATAAAAATTTTGTACATTATATTACTATTTTATAAATACTTTTTTTATTATATAACATTTTTTCTTTATTTTTAATATATATTTTTAAAATTCATAAAAATTATAATATTTTAAAATTATTAATTTATTTTAATATTTAGAGTAATTAATATAAGTTTTTAATTTTATTACAAATAAAGTTTTTTATAATATAAAATATATAGATAAATCTTTTTAAGTGCATTTCTCTCTTGGATTATATACAAAAAAAACAGAATATGCATTTAGAGAGGATATATATTTATAAAAAGCAAATAATTTGAATATTATAAGTTTGAAACTGAGCTATATAATATATATTTAAAGAAAAAATATATTTATAAAAAGTATATTTCTCTATATTAAAATATTATTAAAATTAAATTTAAATTCAATATAAATAAATTTATATATTAAAAATAAGCTTTATATATATATTTAATTAAACAAATAATTTATTATATATTGCATAAAATTTAAAATTATCAAATGATTATCTTTTATAAAATATATAACTTTTTTACTAAAAAAATAAATACAAAATTTAATCTGTGAATATAAAATAAATCTTTGTTAAGCATATTTACAGATTAAATTTTATATTTACTTCTTAGTAAAGAAGTTTATATATTTTATAAAATACAAATATTTAATAATTTTAAATTTTATGCATTATACACTATATAAAAATTAATAAAAATTATATAAAAAATATATATATTTTTTACTATATTTTTTGAATTTATTATAAAGATATCTAAAATAAATTATTATTATTTATATAAATTAAAATTTTTAATATTTAAAAAATTATTTAAAAATAATATAAAAATATATTTATAATATAAAAATATATTTGTAATTTAAAAAATTTTTATTTAATAAATATCATTCAAAAAAACTTTATTTTGATAAAGTTTTTAACAAAATATATATAGCAAAATATAATAAATCTTATTTTTATTATATTTTATTAAAAATTTATTAAAATAAATACTTTTTCTAAAAATTTCAATTCATAAAATTTTACCATATTAATATACTTTGTAATATTAAAAAAAACTTGGTTTTAATATTCTAAAATATATTTATATATTTTTATATTAAATTATTAATAATTTAAAATATAATATATATATATATTAATTTTTAATAAAATTTTTTTCAAAAATATTTGAAATTTTTTTAGAATTTAAAAATTTTTTCAAAATTTAAAAATCTTTTAGAAAATTTAATTTAAATTTAAAAAAAAAAATTAAAAATTAATATTAAAATTTAAAAATAATAAATTTAATCTAAAAAAAATCATATATATTTCTATAA